TAGTGGAATTTCTAACGAGAGTATGTAACAAACGAAACATAAGGAGTTTAAATGCAAATAATACACATAGGTAAAAATTTATTTCGGTTTGTCTTGTTGGTCTCGTGGTTGAAATTTGATACCCTCACACTTGTAAGTCTCTCCAAAACTAGTGTTTGAATTGGGTTTCACTGTTTTGGATTGATTTTACAGCAAAGATTCGCAAGAAGCAGCATAAAGGTGAATTTAGCATTATTAATAAAACCGACAAAAAAAACCGCGAGTCGAACTCGCGCAAGAAGGGTTCCGTGCCATCGTAAAACGTTTCTAGGGGAGCCCCCTTAAATTTTTAATTTATTTTAATTTTAATTATTTGTTGTTATAGCGGCATCAGAAATACATATTCTGTGAAAATATCAACTGCCTACCTATTACGGATCATGAGATACAGTCTGCTGATAGACAGACGAATGGGCGGACGGATGGACAGCGGAGGCTTAGTAATAGGGTCCTGTTGGTTACCCTTCGAGGACGGAACCCCTAAAAGTGGCAAGACACCCCCAACACCCCCTCTATGAGTTACAATTTAAATGGGGTAATATTTGAGCATCAGAACACCACACAACGTCTTTTATCCTGACTATATGTCCTTTGTGTTTAGCTTTACAATTTTATGTAGCTAAATAGATAGAACGTAAAAATATAAAAAAAATTAAATTAATTTAAATTATCAGGTGAACTGCAAAGTTCATCTCTCTCGAAATGACATTTCTTTTTATTTCTGAACTTGCTCTTTGATTATGTCTCTATCATCCCGTCCCAATTAATTGCGAAATTTCGTAAGTGCCACAATTAAAAACGTAGCAACTATATCTTCCTTTTGTTTTCGCAAATTTAGCCCTGACTCGTTTTCCTAAACCAGAACTGGTGACCGCGCACTAGTAATGTGGCAATCATCAAACCTTTGAAGTCTGTGTGATTTCGATTTAGTTTTTTATATTTAAATATACTGCTTGTTGGTCGTCAGTCTAGTTCATTAATTAGCATCTTAAAAAGTGTGCGTTATCATTTTCCGTGTAGTGGCCGGTAAGAATACCCCGTATCTTCCCGTAGGTGTCGTAAGAGACGACAGAGGGAAACTGAGGCAAAAGATAGGCAGTAGCACCTTTCTGATAACAGCAAATCAACAATAAAAAAACTGCGGTTGCCAACCCGCTCGCCAAGCGTGGTAACAATGGCAATAATCCCTCCATGATTAAAGTTACGAAGAGACAGCCCCCAGTCCCCGGTGGCCCCGCTATTCCTGGCTACGTTAGCGACCATGGTAACGGCGGGGCAGGGGGTGCTAAGAATCTCCGGTGGAGGTTCGGTTGCCACTTAAGACGACTCGACCTGGCAACATATAACGCACGCTACCTGATTACTGACGAGAAGAGCCAAGTTGCGCTGGAATATAATAGAATCATCTGAGGTCCGAAGAGAGGAGGAGGACATGGTAATCCTCAAATCCGGCAACTTGTTATATTACCGGGAGGGCGACCATCTGTCCCAAGGAGGTGTCGGATTTATCGTCCACAAGTCTCTCGTTAACAACGTTGTAAAGATTGAGAGTGTGTCGACGAGGGTGCGTACCTTATACTCAGAAGCACCAAACAAAATTCGCTGAAGGTCATACAGATTTACACACCAACTTCAGCACATCCCAATGAGGAGGTGGAAGAAATGTATGAGGATATATCTAAGGCCATGCATTCCTCCAAAACCCACTATACGGTGTTTATGAGAGACTTCAATGCAAAACTAGGCACAAGAGAGAACGGTGAGCTGAAGGTAGGGAAATTTGGAATAGGGCCATGGAAACCAAGGGGCCAGCAGCTGGCTGACTTCATGAAGAAAGAGGGACTCTTTATGATGAACTATTTCTTCCAGAAGCGGCCTCACAGGAAGTGGACCTGGTCGAGCCACGACGGTTCGACAAAAAATAAGATTGACTTCATTATGACGACCAGACGACAACTGTTCAACTGTTAAAACCTGCAGCGATCACTGAATGGTGAGAGGCAAACTTAACCTAAATGTTAAGTTGGAGAGGTCACGTCTAATGACGTCAATGCTCCGTCCCCCTCGTGGTCTAATCCAAAGCTTTGGGACTTTCAGCATGAGCTACAAACCCGTTTTCAGTGCCTAGAAGATTGCAACAGTAAACTATATAAATAACAAGCTAGTGGAAACTGTCCATGCGGTATGAGCTAAGTTTTGCAAGACCCACCGCAGAAAAACATATAAACTCTTCGATCACACTCTTAATCTCATGGCTGTTAGATGGGAAATGAAGCTGCAGTCTTCAGTAGATTTGACAGCATACAGGTAACTGAGCAGACAGATCTCCAAATACATGTGCCGAGACTTACACAATTTTAATACCGCTCGTATTGAAGAAGCGATGGAGCGGAACCAGGGCTCCAAAGTCTATGCTAGAGATCTGTCTGCCAGAAAGAGCCAACTGTCGAAGCTGAAAACCGAGTGTGGCAGCGTCGTTTCCCCGGAAACGACACTGCAACACTCAAAATCTCAGGTGTGTCCCGACAACTGATTTTGAGTGAGATTGAGAAGTTCTCTGGGCAGCTGAACACATCATCGTTGGAGCCACACGCAAGTTTGAGTAACGATCCAAGAGCAGGTCTTATCTGACACTATTCCGATGATATTCCGGACGCCAGTCTGAGCGAGATTAGAATCACTCTCCAGCACCTTAAAAACGGCAAGGCCCAAGGCGAGGATGGAATAACAGCGGAGCTTCTGAAAGCGGGTAGAAAATCGGTACTTGAAGTGCTTCAGAAGCTCTTTAATTCCATCCTCCATGGTGGCACTACACCGGAGGCGTGGAGTATAAGTGCGGTGGTCTTGTTCTTCAAGAAAGGCGACAACGCTCTCTTGAAGAACTATAGACCGATTTCCCTTCTGAGCCGCATCTACGTGCTGTTACCAATCGTCAATCGTCTCGCATGTAGACTCGATGACCTTCAGCCTCCCGAACAAGCCGGTTTCCGAAAAAGCTTTAGCACCATAGACCACATACATACCCTTTGGCAAATTGTACAGAATTCTGAGGAGTACAATTTGCCACTATGTCAGGCGTATGTGGACTACGAGAAAGCCTTTTATTCCGTCGAAATTTGGGCGTTGTTGCAGTACCTTCAGCGGTGGCATATTGACTGTCGGTATATCGAAGTGCTGAAATGTTTTTTCAGTAGGGCTACGATGGCTATCCAAGTACAGAACCAGAGTACAAAACCTATCCAACTGCAAAGAGGGGTAAGACAGGCTGACGTTATATCCTCGAAACTCTTCACCGCTGCATTGGAAGACGTTTTCAAGCTTCTGGACTGGAAAGGATACAGTATTAAGATCAACGGCGATTACATCACTCACCTTCGATTTGCCGACGATATAGTCCTTATGACAGAATCGCTGGAGGACCTAAGCACTATGCTCAATGACCTCAATAATGCCTCCCAACGAATAGGTCTTAAGATGAACATGGACAAAACAAAGATCATGTTTAAAGTCCATGTCAGACCTATGCCGGTAGCTTTTGGGTTGCACTAAGCTTGAAGTTGTTGACGAGTATGTTTACCTTGGACAAATTGTCTGACTAGGTAAGTTCAACTTCGACGGAGAGGTCAACCAAAAAGGCGTCAAAGATAGCACAACCAGTGCGTGTTGCCAGTGATGATTTATGGAACTAAGACGTGGCCCTTCACTGCTTCACTGAGGAAGCTCAAGGTAGCTCAGCGAGCTATGGAGAGGGCTATGCTCCGATTTTCTCTGCGTGATAAACTTAGAAATGAGGATATCCGCAGTAGAACCAGAGCTTGTAAGAGACCATCTCATTCCCAGTGTTTATTAACAACTATGTGTTCTATGTGTATAACTCTTTTTTAAACAGTTTTTGTACCATAAAAATATTCAAAACTGGTAATATGGTCTCTCACCTTGTATATTTTCTGGAAGTTTGTTGTAATATTGTATATATTGTCATGAATGAATTACTGTCTTTGTGTCAGCCATATAGCTCGAAGAACCGGCAACCTATGGGGAAAAAAGTTTCTCGAGTGGCGGCCTCGTACCGGCGGATGAAGTGTAGGGCGTCCACCCAGTAGATGAAGTCACGACCTGGTAAGACATGCAGGAAATCGATAGATTCAGGAGGCTCATGACCGTGGTTTGTGGCCTTCATTGTGGGAGGCCTATGTTCAGCAGTGGACTTGTGAAGGGCTGTAATGATGATGATGATGAACGTGTGCGGAAGAGGTGTTAAATTTGGATAAAAACAATAGTACATAGTACAACTTATTACTTAGATACTATTTCTAAGGTAAAAATTTAAACATGCAGTCTAAATACACTCCAAAAGGAAGCTGAAAAGGAGCAAATAGATTAGTTAGGCTTAGTTAGGGCATTGGCAGATATCACATCTCCTTGAATTTCCTTTTCTTCAGACTTGCAAGTTTCCTTATGATGTTCACCTTCAACAGCGAGTAGGTGGTACCGTTACTAAAACATTTGAAACTATTACTAGTTTATTACTCATTATTTAATGATCACCAGACCGAAATTTGCCATGGCGGCCAGTCTCAACGGGGACCAGCCATCTGCGCAGGACGGGATTAAAGTGTACGAGTGTGTGCGCAAGCACAGGTGCACTATCCATTTCCTCACTGTCATAGTCCGATGGTACGGAAATCCGACACAAAAAGTGAGAGGTCAGGCCAGGATCAATGACTTTACGTGCTTCCCAAGGATCTAGGGTGAAATACTGCCAGTTTCCTGACTCAATTTACAACTGAAAACTTCTTGACAGTCAATTATAAAAATTTTATACTACCGACTTGAATAACGGGTGAGACATAAATAATTACCCTATTGGAAGACGCTATAATTTTTGCAAATGGCGTCAAATGTCAAATCGGTTCTGACATATTTGAAGTAAACGGATGTAAAATACACGTCGACAAGCCATGAATCACTATTCTCTTCAAGATCGCGGAATAATTGCTTCCATATTTATGCGCAATAATTCGTCTGTGGTGTTGGCGCAGCGTGAATTTCGTCGCAGATCTCCCGGCCGTACGACACCAACTGGACAAACACTGCTGCATTTGGCCGCCCGTCTTGAAGAGACTGGGACAACACGAGTTGCTCCTCGGCGTTGCCGGCCTCGGACTAGCCGTTCTGCTGAGAATATCGCCACGATAGCCGAAGCAGTTGAAATGGACCCTGGAACATCGACCAGTCGACGAGCCACGTAATTGGGCCTTAGCACGCGGTCCCTACGACGAATTATGGTGAAAGATGACGATGATATTTCATAGAAACTCATCATGAGCGATGAGGCTCATTTCCAGCTCAGCGGTTACGTGAATCGCTAAAATAGATCGAAAGTCCGCGTATGATCCACAAAAGCCATTACACTCGCTCAACACTACGGCATGGTGCGCTGTTTACGCTGGAGGAATCATCGAGTCTTTTGTTTTTCGAGGACGCCGCGTGCCAAACGGTAACTTCAAAGGCGACCGCTACAGAGCCATGATCAACGAGTTTCTTCTTCCTCAATTGGATGAGCTGGAAGACATGTGGTTGTAACTTGCAACAGGACAGTGCAACGGTAAACACTGCCCGAGCCACAACCAACATTTTAAAGCAGGCATTTCCGGGTCGCCTAATCTCTCGTTTTGGCGATTTGCACTGGATTTTGCACGCGATTTGACCGTACCGGACTTCTTTTTGTAGGGATCTTTGAAGGCTCGTGTTTACTACTACTGTAACAGAAATACATATTCTGGGAAAATTTCAACGGTCTGCCTATTACGGATCATGAAATTCAGCCCGCTGACAGACAGACGGACGGACGGACGGACGGACGGACAGACTGCAGAGGCTTAGTACGAGTAATAGGGTCCCGTTGGTTACCCTTTGGATACGGAACCCTAAAGACCGCGGTTGCCAACCTGCCCGCCAAGCGTGGGAAGTATGGCAAATATCCTCCCCAAGGAGGCAATCTATGGGGGAACAGTATGTTCAGCTGTGGAAGCACCATGCTCTCACAGAACACCAGCATGAAATAGCCGCTTAATGCTGCTGTATTTCATATGGTGAGTGTAAGGAACCGAAAACGCTTTTTACTGGAATGCCACGTGCATCCCATTTTAATCCCCAGGGGTGACAAAGTTTCTGCATTTTAATTCTTAATCGAGGATAGATGTATATATCCATGGGCCACAGTATCCACTTACCACCTGTGTGATGGACTGTGTGCTCGCTTGTTACCCTTATTCTATAAAAGAAAGTAAAAAAAAGATGGCACTATTATCACCAGTTTTAAAAATACAAGTAAAATTTTCTACAGACTGACTATCTTCAGACAGACAGATAACGTTTCCAATAATATTGTTTTGGCATCCTATTGAAATTTCAAAAAAATATTCAAATTACAAAACGTATTCATAGTTTTATTACAGTATATGCGTACACATAATCGTTATTCGTCTGTTAGTGAGTGTGTAACTTCTAAACGACTAGTCCGATTGTGTTTGTGAGATTAAAGCCTTATGACACAATATGCTTGTTTTTTCGAGACGATGGTTCATAGCTATGCTAGGATCCAATAGGTGACACTGCGGTCGAGTTATTAAGGAATAATGTATATTTACACTGTAAAAAGTTCGAAGTGAAACTCACAGCGTTACCTACCGGGCAGAACATAGTCCACAAAGCCAGCTAGTGAATTGTTAAAATTACAAAATATTTTTTAATGGTTGTAAATTATAAGATTAAAATAATACATTAGGTTAAACAGCATTGGAGTTATAAATTTGAAGTATCATCACACGTTCGATTAATTAATCTGGTTTATAAGAATGTTTTCAGCGCCGCCATTAGTGACGGCTGGAACTAAAAGCGAGTTTTATTTTTATCTTCCCTAGATGTTCGTCCTCATTTGCCCGGCTACTAATGTAATATTGGCTTTTCCGCGTTTAATTCATAATTTTCCATAATGGAACGTTGTTTATTATAGGGCGCTCAAGAATTATATTACGAGTATTATGGTTTTTTATAGTATAGACACACAATATGGAAATAATAAGTCGCAAAAATTACGCCATTTTCTTAACGCAGTCAACTTTTAACAGTTCACTGTTGGACTTGGGCTTCTCTTGCTCCTCTCATTGAGGGGTTAAAGGTTAGGATTCTCGCTTACAGAGTCCCTAAGGCCTGAGTTAAAACTCAGCCGGATTCAATATTAGAGTCAATGTTGTATTTCGTTCTTGGTCATGGGTTTACGTAGTAGAGAGTGCAGATATGCTACCTATATATAGCTAAATAATTACAGCACGAATGGATCGGCCCGAACGGCCCAATACCAGCGTGAAACACCAGAATGATGCTGCTGTGTATTGTATTGTGAGAGTAGAGAACTGGAGACCCTTTTTTACTGGTAACATGGCATTCTATTTCAATCACTAGGGTGAGAATGCATCTGCATTTTGATTCTTAATCGATGATAGATTTATATTACTATGGGCCATAGCACTCACTTATCATCAGGTAGACAATGTGCGCGATTGTCACCGTTATTCTATAAAAAAAATTCTTAAGTCGTGCATGTACCAAAACAACGCTTAAAATTGCTTTTACCAATTTCATTGGTGCCGGCGAAGATTGAACCAGGATTGCACGCGTACTGTGATATTAAAAGCGAGTGCTTTGTCTCTAAGCTACCAGTACCGTGGTAATGTATAAAATTTTAATTATTATTTAATATTTTTAGTATTTAAGATATAACAGCACAGTAAACTACACCAGTTTATAAAATTATAATAATGCGCGATGTAATATACTGGGCTTTATGTTTTAAATCACAGTGATATTATTTTCAAAATAAAATAAAAAACGCTACTTGGTTTCATGTAAATTCTTTTCAAACTGAGAAATTCATCGTACCATTAGTGAAGTCAAGAAGGTGATCAATAATAAAATGTATGAATTGGATAAAAAAGCTGTTCTATTCACGGAGCTCAGCTTTTTTTTTAAATACTAGTAACGCTATTAACATCATTAAAATCCACTTAATCGTTCCAAGTAAGCTCAAAATGCTTGTGTTAGGAGTAGTTTACTAAAGAAGTCGAATGGCGCACGAATTTTCGTAGAGTCACACTACAGCTATTTTAGCACAATTGGGCCGGATCGACTTGGGTAAGACAACGCTCTCACAGAATACCAGCGTAAAAGCTGCTGTGTTTCGTAGTTGTGAGTGTTCGTGAGTGTAGAAAACTGGAGACCCTTTTTAAACTGGAACTCATGGCATTCCTTCTTAACCTTTAGAGGTGACGACGCCTTCTTTAATTAAAGTTAGTTGGTTGATATTAATCGTAAACGTACTTTGGGCCGCACCGCAAGCGCCACAATCGATACATTTGAATTATTTGTATGAAGTTCTAGGCATCACCAGCATCGGCGTGTTCGTGTTATCGCGTCAGTGTTGTAATTTGTGGCAGTTTTCTTCTTGGGCTGATTTTGGATTTTCTATTTAGTAGATTTTTTTACATTATAGTACATTAAATTAATAACTAAAAAGTTTAAAATTATAACATATCACAAACTCTCATGCCTTACCTCCCGTTCGGCAGAGACTGCAGACTTCCATGTTTCATTGTTACGATGCTGATGCACCTCTCTCCCTTTTTTCACATCACATCACTGTGTTATTTTTACGTAAGTACGTATATTTTTTGTGAAAATCGAATCGAATTGAAAATATTGTGTTATTTTAAGCATTATTTATTTCTCATTCATTTTTCTATAATAATTATTATATCAATAAAGATTTCCGCCTGGTGGCGACATAGAATATTATAATACAGGTGACGTAATATAATCGATCACCCCATTTCATTCCATGGGTGTCGAAGAGGCGACGATGGGACTTACCAGAAAAATCTAATGGCTTCCGAACCGAACCTAAACTTACTCCAGTTCTTCTACATGAGTTTTTCTATTAATGGACTTTCATCTTCGTTACGGTCACCCCACCCTACAATCTATAAACACCCACGCTACACCGCGTTGATCCAAAGCGACGAGATGTGGTAATGGTCCTTTGGTAATTCAACGGACTTAGATCTAAATCCCCTACAATTGCCCATGAACATCAGCAACAAAGTTCAAAAAAGAACGCTACAAATATGTACACTGTCACCACTTAAGGCTTAGATGAAATGTCACACTACCTATACTGGCGCTATTACCTTTCAAAGCGCAATGCGACAGTGGGTGACAATGAAAGATATTTGATCTAGGAGTATAACTCTATAATTATGAAGACACATATCTCATATATTTATGTTATTCCATAAATCACTATCAAATTTTTAAAAAATATATATAAGCGAAGACAAAAACTAAAAAGAATAAAATAATTTGCGCTTCTGAAGTTGGGGCAATAATTCTTCGCCACACTATTTCCAAGCACCACCTTAAAAAAAAAATTAAGTTTGTTTTAACTTATTAAAAATAGTAATAATATTGTTTATTTACGCTGCTGTTCTGCTCTTTCCTCGTTGGAGCCGTTTGTATGTGGTGGTGGGTACGAGGGCCACTCAAAAAGTTTATTGAAACCAAAAAAAAAGTTTATGGTTGAAGTTTTTATTATTAAATCTTTTCAAAGATCTCTCTGATAGCATCTATATAAAGTTTCATGCGTTCGTGCTAATTTTTGAAACACTTTTCCCAGTCCGCAAGAGACAACTCTTCTACGGCCTGCTCGAACTTTACCAATGTATATTGCAGATGAATACTGTATCCCAATTTTTTATTTTAGGGAATAAAAGTAAATCACACACTGCCAAATCAGGGTTGTAATTAGGGTGACCCAAAGTCAAGAAATCCTCGTTTTAAACTGAGCTGAGTGCGCGGACGCATCGTCATAGAGCCTCGTGTTCGGTCGCTTATTGCTCACAGCACTGAACACTTCTGGCAAACATTTTAAGTATACCATTATGCATTGATGCTACTGCGATTTCGTAAAGGAGTTGAGTTTTTATACGTGGTAGAGCTATGCTGCAGCTATATTAATAGTATAGTTGTAGCACGAATGGGTCGGCTCGACCGGGGAAGGACCACGCTCTCACAGAATACCAGCGTAAAATAGCAGCTTAATGCTGCTGTGTTTCGTATGGTGAGTGTAGAGAACCGGAGACCCATTTTACTGGAAAAGAGGCATTCTATCTTAGTCCTCAAGGCTGACAACGCA